CTGGGTGCAGTCCCGCCAGGGGAACTTGGACGGGTCATGAGAACCTGCCTGAGATTTGTCCCACCAAGGACGGGGACATGGGGGTCTACCTGCTGGTCCCCACCTCTTCGTGACTGAGACCTGCCCTTGGAGATGTTTAGTCCCCACCACTTGGGGGGGAGTGGTCAGCACATGGAGAGTTCCCATGAGGCCGGGTGACCCGCAGATGAATCTCGAGTGAGCATGGGGCCTGCTGCTTCCCCCGAACTTGGGGACCCCCTACTCCCACCCCTCCTCTCCCAGTGCTCATCAGATTTCACCCATTGCAGCTTTTTTTTCTATTTTGGTGGATAAATAAAAGTTTATACTGTCATTGCACAACACCCTCAGCTGATTTAGCTTACTTTTGAGGGTTATTTTCACATTAGGGATAGTTACAATCCCATTCTAAGAATTAGAGTGGGTGGTCCACTATTCCCCCCAAGGCCATCCTGATGATTAGAAGGCGATCTAACACTGATTCTGGGGGCACTCTAACAGCATCCGAAGAGCTGAATTGCCAAAGGCCGTGACAGTCAATTCAGAAAAGAGGAACCACAGCATAGAAGCCAAGAGAAAACATAAATCCAAGGAAAAGAACAACCAGATTCAAAAAATAATAAGTTGCAAATATTTATCCCTCTTACTATTCAATGCTGGTGGAACTATGGGCAAAACCAATTTCCAGGAACTGTCAAACATTGCTACTGGGAGAATACATTGTATAAAAGCGACTTTTTAAAAAACAATTTGGTAATATAGGTCCAATGTTGATAGCCCACACACACACAAACAAAAGCTCATGCATGAATATGATCACCAGAATATTATTTAAAATAGCAAAATTGGGAAATTTTGTGAATGGAAATGTAGGATCTTTGAACTGACAATGAATTGAATATTGTGCCCTCATTAAACATGTTTTCCAAAAGTTTACACTAATACTTTAAAAAAATGCTTAAAAAGAGAAAACAGTATACAAATTTATAAATTAGGTTGAACCTTATGAAATTGACTATATTAGAAAAAAAATTGGTTCAGCCAAGTTCAATTACAGTTCAATCTTGGTTGCACTATAAGATAAAAATGTTTATTCTTGATATTTTTTTAAAAATCTATTTTTTTAAGAAAAGACTGGAAGGAAATGTACTTCATTGATGACAATAGTCTTTTAGGGTAGGATTTCAGGTGATTTTTTTTCTTATTTATACTCTTTGTATTTTGCAAATTTTCTATAATAAGCATGCATTCCTTTTATAGCATAATTTTATGTTATTAGTGGTATTACTATGTGCCTTGTGAGACTTTGAAGAGTTGCCATAGGAACAGGAAGCAGATAAGCTTCCCCGGGAGCGCAGATTCACTGCACGGAGTTGACACCGTGGGTGGCCGGGACTGGAGCACAGAGCTCCGAGCCTCGTCTCCAGGGCCATGTCTCCTGGGACGTGCTCCCTGCCCATGAGCACGACAGAGCCCTCCCAGCATGTGTCCCGGCCCAGGTGCCTGCTACAGCCTGTTGTTTACGCATCTGAGGGAAAGGGGCACCAGACATCACTTACCAGAGAGGGGGGCCTCAGAAGTGGGGGAACGAGGCTGCCCCTCCTGCTGCTTGGGAGAAGGCACCCCCCCCCCCGCCCCGTTAGCAGGAAGACCTGTAGTAAGGAGCCTCCACTTCCTTTGTACTCACTTTATACTGACGACCTCATGATCCACACCTGTCTCAGCACAGGTAGAGACCACTGTGGCCCGGCCAGTGTGACCATGCGGTCTGTGAGTTCCTCATTCAGACACAGACTTGGGTCCAAACTCCAGCGGCCTCACCTGCGTAGCTATGACAGTGTCAGCCCGTCTCCCTGAGGCTGCCCACCGCCGGGAGGCTGGCCAAGGTCACCCACAGAGGGACCTCTGAGAGGACGGCAGATGCAGCCCCCAGAGTCCCCGGAGTAAAATCTAGGGTCCTGGAAACGTCCTTTCTCTCCTGGCCCCTGGGAAAGCCGTACCTACTTCTGAGGGATACTTATAGGAGGAAGTTCTCAATAAATGTCTCTAATGCATTTACCTAAATAGGCAGGATTCAATTAATAATCTACCCTTCAATTAAAATGGCCCCTTTATAGACTGAGGTTTAACAGAAAGCTCCATTGTGGTTTGACGACTAAAAACCCAGAACCAAACCTTCCCTGAGCCATCACTTACATACTCCAAAGCCATAAAGCTGAAGGCCCCTTCCCAATCCACAATCCCCACAGAATACCCCAAACTGTGCCCTTTGTAAACAAGTGGAAATCCACAGGACCCAGCTTCATCACTCTGTAAGTACATGAATTTCTGAACTGAAGCATTGAACAAATGCAATAAAAAATCTTATTAATCTCTCAGTCCATGAAAAAAGTGACCTTTCTGGGCCTCATTTTTAAGCAACTAGAAATCTTATGGGCTGAGCTATCAAATTCTCATGAGCATGAGTAACATATGAAATCTGCTGGCATATTTTATAAAGTCAAGAAGTCATAAATGGTGGCATCACTGTGTAATATCAGCAGTAACTTCAGAGTGGTCATTTCTGTTCACGAGTTGTGTGCGGGTTTCTTCTGAAATCCTCATAAGAAGGAGGTTAGGCTGCATTCCAGTCTCTCTCTCCCGGGGGATCTCAGAGCACTGGGGGTGGCGCTTTATATTTCCATGTTGCTCTTGCCAATTCTCATATTTAGAAGATTCTCATATATAAGAACCTAAGAATCTTAGGCTGAAAGGATCACCCTCCTCAATGAGGCAAGAAGGCACCGAGAATCTCATTAGTAAACCCAAGGCCACTGGTATGACTCAAGAGACCATGTAAATGGAGCCTGCCAGCACCCTTGGGAGGGAAAGGGGGTCTCCCAGGCAGCCCTCACTTCCCACCCAGGTTTGTTTAATGCTGTGTTGGTAAAGTGGGCATGGTGGGCTTCCAAAACAAGGAGATGGAAAACTTAGACTGGCCTCGCACAGTAACTCTGGCAGAGACACAGAGCAGTCAGCCAGGAGAGGGCAGCAGGAGGGGGCCAAGGGACCCTGTGACAAGAGTGGAAGGAGGGGCAGGGGGTGGGTGAGACAGTGCAGGGAGGCCACCAGAGGTGGTGACCAGTGGTGACATTGGGTACAAGCCTCCAGGATCATGAGGCCAGTCTGACAGCCACAGAATGAGCAACCCAGTTGGGTGGCAGTGATGGCTCTAAAGGCACCCTCTCGGGCCGCCTGGAGAAAGGGCGTGCAGGGACCAGACCCATTTCTCTGCTGTAGGAACTCGAGGGGCAGGAGAGGCCAGAGGAGCAGGGAGCACACACCCACCCTCATGCTCCCTGGCTCCTTCTCTCTCTGCTGTGGTACTCAGCACACCCAGTGGGTGAGCGGGTTTGATTGGCATGTCTGTCTGCTGTTGAAGTGGGAGGGGCTGAGCAGAGGGAGGATGGAACTAGCTGGGGGCAGAGCAAATGGCAAGGGGAGAGCCTGGCCTGGCGCTGGGCTCAGCTGCCCTCCCCGTCCCTTTGTGGTCCATGGTGCAGTCCCAGGGGCCTGGCGGAGCACATACAGCACGGAGGAGAGGCCTGCTGATTCAAGGGCCATTCCAAATTACAGGATTAGTTTAATCCAATCATCCCTATGGCTTGACAAACAAGAAATTTGTATGGGGTAGATGCGACTACAGTCCTTTTCAAAATACAATTGTAGCCTAATAAACATAATTTTTAAAATCATGGGTTTTTTGAAAAGCATGTCATCCATCTCTAGCAGGGACTGTTCCCGTGTGCCTGTGTATGTTCAGGGCATTCCCTGTTTTGCGCTTCTGTGTTACTTGGCATAAATGCTAATTTAGGCTTAACATATTGCATCGTAGTTTTGAGTTCACAAGTCTGCTTTTCCTTCCAGTCTCTTGTGGGCAAGGGCTGTATTTTATTTTTGAATGAGTGACTAGACAGATAAAGCGATGCGTGTATTAAAATCCATAGTACAAAGGAAGAGGCGTCTCCCCGGGAGGGGAGCTGGGATCAGCTCCTCCCTCTGATAATTCTCAAGAGCTGGGACCATCTCAGTTTTCCCTGTATTCCCATGGCCTCACCCTGCCCGGGTGCCAGTGCTCCAGCCCTGACTCTGAGGGTCCCTGCCCAGACCATCTGCTCTGGAGGGAAATGGAGTCTCCACACGCAGGCCCCGTACTTTCTCTCTTCCCTCCACCTGAGCCTCAATCCCAGCTGCACCTGCTGTTGAGAGGCGGGCCCAGGAGGCAGTCAGGGGTGGGTGCTGACTGCAGAGGGAATTGGCTTTTGAATTCCCAAGGCCCTTACAGGGTTCATTATAATCATCATGACACATAGGTTCCCATTACTGCCTCCTGCGTTCAGTCTCATTTTGTGAAGAAACCCAACCGGGCTAAGCTATCGTATCTGGCTCATTTTATACCCAAAAGTTAAAGCAGGAAATAAAAGTCACTGGAAGGAGATTTGATTATAAAATGTTCTTTTCCCCCTAAATCCAAAATGAGATTCAGAACTACAATTAAGACATCCTAATTTTATTAAAAAGAGTTGGACTAATCCACAGGTGTGAAAGTCCCTTCCTGAGTAAGAAAAGCATAGGGACATCCCTCTGGGAGGCACGGACCCTGAATCGTGGCCGGGGTCCAGCAGGCATCTTATCGTGACTGCCGGATGCTTCCCGTACCCATCTGCACACTGCCCCTTCCAGGAGACCCGCACCTGTTTACTCTCAGAGGTGAACGAAGCTGCCCGAGATGCCACCACACGCTGCAAGACTCCCCTTTCTCCGTTAAGACGAGAGGCAGGGGCTCCTGTTCATGTTGCTTTGGCCTCACATCATTTGGCACCTGAATTTCCCTCAGCCTGATCCCACAAGCTCAGTGAGGAAGGAGAAGTGTCGCTCGGGCTTCGGGGACGATTACTCGGTTCTGGCTTCTGAGGGGCCACTATTTGCGTGCAGGTCCTTACCCCTCTCTCCAGTAGCATGTCTCGGAAGTGGGTCACCCTCTCCTCCAGGGGCAGGAGGATCTGGGGTGGCGGTGTCTTGCTGACTTTGTCCTCTGTCTCCGCCTCCTCTGGCCCAGGACTCATGCGGGGACTCACGCGGCCTTCCGTCCTTCAAGGCACAAGGCACAAGACACAGAGAGTTAACTGCGCCCTGGAGACCCAACTGCTTTTCATTGCAACCTTTAAAAACCCTCCAGGGAACTAGAAAGCAAACATTCTTTGAAAACTTTTTAAAGCCCTGTGCAGTCAGCCCAGTGAAGGTGAAAGCAGAGATTTTTGCTCTTGGAATGCAAACTGCTTTGTTGCATTTGGGAGGGAGAGTTGAGACTGAAGCCCTAACTGAGTGGGCACGAGCCGGGGCGGGGGTACACATGTGGGCCGAATGCGCCCAAGCTGCCACCAGGGCCGATGGGGAAGCAAGCGGAGAGCCAGCATTCGATGCCTAGAGATAGTCCTCAGGGAGGCAATGGAGCGAGCCTTCCCATTTGAGCAAATCATTGGAGCTCACGCCTCCTTCTATTTTTACAGAAAGGCCTTCATTTTGGACAAATTGTGGAAGACAGTTACAGGAAGAACTATTCTATCAACACTCAGGGTATGGAAAATGTTGTCGTGAGGTCTAACCCAAAAGGGAGATTTCAGTGACAATGGGAGACACTGGGACCCTGCCCTGGGCTGTCTACACAGGGAATGGTAGAGAGCTGGACCACCGGCAGCCCCGGATATATTCCCTTCCCCAGCACAAGGGTGGCCACAGCCAAGGCCCAGGACACAAGGGGAACGGGCATGAGGCAGGCCCAGTGTGGGCACGGGGGGAGGGAGCCACAAGCTGGCCTCACCAGACTGGGCGGTGGGAGGGAGGGAGAGGCCCACTCTTATTAAGCGCCAACTCCATGCCTTGCATTATGTTATTTAACCGGCCATTTGATAGATCTCTTCATGATTCTACACTTTATTCTAGAAGCATCTGGAAACATCCTTCTAAAACCCCTTGACATTTGCTGCTGGAAGAAGATGTTTGGCCAAATGCCAACAGTTACCCTCATGTGACCCCTTGACCTGGCCCTGCCTGGGAGCAGGTCCACACAGCCCCCACTCCTGTCCCCTCCCATGCAGCCTATTCTTAGCCATGATGCACAGATCTCACCTACACCGGCCTGGAGAGCAGCCTGGCTCTGCCCCCACGGACCCCTCTTCTGGGCCTCCTCCTGGGCTGGCCCCGCCCTACACTTCTCCATCGTCAGGTCCTGTGCCCACTGACTCCAACAAGGGCAGGTGCAAACCCGTTCTCTCAGCAATTCCATCAGTAGACCACGGGTCTTAGAGAGCCTTCGCTTTCTGATGGCACTTAGGGCAACCGAGGCTGACAATAGTAAAGAGAAGGGCACCGAAAAGCATGTGACTCAGTGCCTTCTGCATATGGACACCCTAAGTGCCAGGGGGTCTGGCAACAGCAGGGAATGTGCATTTAAAAAGCACGAGGCTTCCCCGCTCTTTGCAAAAGGAGCCTCACCCCAGGCGTGGGGCACAAACTCGCTCACACCATCCACGTCTGGGCTTTCTGACATACGTCTAGCACGGTGCCCTCATCCTGGGTGACAGCTCCTGGGGGACGTTGGCATTGTCTGGAGACATCTGTGCTTGCCACCACTGGGGAGGTGTCCTGGCACACAGGAGTAGAGGCCGGGGGTGCTGCTAAACCCCTGCAATGCCCAGGGCAGCCCCGCCCCCCCCAGGATTATTGGGCAAGTCTGCACAACTCCTGTACGCAGGGAGGAGGAGACGGGACCACTCAAGGTTGTACTATCACTTAGTGGCCAGGACCAGGCCAGTCCCTGACTCCCGACGCCCACCAGGCGCATGGCTTTCCCATCATGTCTGTCCAGCTTACTGTGGAAATACGTTAGTTACCACTTTTACGATGTGCTGAGAATATACAATGTTCTATGTTAAACAAGGGTTTTCACTCACCGGGGTTGTCACATGGATTAATCCAACCTAACACAAAATGGGCAAAGGAAAAAAAATGTTTGCTCAGCCCACTAGGGAATCTTATTTATAGACCAACTATTTGAAGAGAACTTACACTCTTTGCTTCTCATGCAATTATGTGGAATTTCGAAAAAAGAAAATTAACTGTAGATTTGCAATTGTATCATATTCCAAAAGGTATAATTAGGATTTCTTTGTAATCAATTTTCATTAGTTAAAAATAGAAGTGTGGAAACAGGACTTGTATTGTTGTAACTTGAAATAAGATTAATAGGAATGTGTGAGCTCAGCGATGATGGCATATTATAGCTTATTCAACAAAATATTTTATTCAAAACCACTGGACACCTTCCAGACCGCGAAGCCATCAGTTCAATTAGAACTGGTTGAAAGCAAATGCAAACTTGCTAAATATATTTTTAATATTCTTATGGGTGAATGAATTTGGTACCCTTAACAAAAAGTAAATTTTAATACTTTTAATAAAACTAGCTCAAGTCAAAATTGTACAAGGGTGAGAGGCAGTGTCCCCGAGGGCACACTACTTGGGGTCCCACAAGCCTTGCTGGCTGTCGAGGGGAAAGGTCTCTCATCAGGAAATGGTTTCACTGCATGGCCCGCGCCTCGCCTGGGCGATGCACCGTCTTGGGAATTTTCCAGGTCAATTTTCCAGGTGAAAAGGGGCTTGGTCTTGTCCAGTCTTTCTCCCAGGGCCAGGGTCCCCCAGTCCGGGGCCACAGCCCTGGGGTCTCTTCCTTCCGAGAGGCAGCATGCTCCCTGCCTCTGTCCACCACCCTTTTGGAGACATTACGGTGACCGCTCCCTGGACACAGGGGCTCCTCTCCCCCTTCTGCCCCTCGCCTCAGCCCTCGGAAGGCTACTGAGCATGTCCAGGCAACGTGCTAATCACGTGGGCACGTGTGCACACACATGTCTGTCCCTGTGGGTAAGTCTGCAGCCCTCGTGCCGAGGGCATCAGATTATCTGTTAAAACGCACGAGACCAGATTCTAAACACGCAAGTCCAGTCGTTATTTTCCTTTTATGGATGACAAAATGTAATTAGTTTATCTGGTCTGAGAGGACTCAGGCCACTGGACTTGGCACGCCTGCCGTGAGCCTTGAGGCCAGTCAGACACGCAGACATGCCTCTTCCCACCTCCCGAGTCTCTCAGTGGAGCCATCCTGAGGTCAGAACAGTCGCCCTGGCAAAGAAATTACAGCCTGTGACAGTTCAAAGGGAAGTGGCTTTCTATTGTTCTATCTATGAGAGAGGGAGAGAGACAGCAAGAGAGAGAGAGAGAGAGAAAGAGAGAGACGGAGCTTCAGAAGACTGCGTGGTTTTTGTAGGGGTGCACACCGGGCAGGTTTATTTCTCAGCGAGTCTGAGGCACCCGCCCACTGACTCAGGTGTCAATGTACAAGTGTCATGGCATCACCCAGGTAGGGGGAAGCTCAGACTGTGGAGCTGGATGGATTAAGGTCCAAACCTCAATTTGGGCAAATATGCTGAGTTCTGTACACCTCAGTGTCCTCATGTGGGGCAACCACGGGGTTGATGTGAGGATTCAACCAGATAGTCCAAGTTAATCCCTCAGCACAACTCCTCACTCAGAGTGCTCTCTCTCCCTCTCCCCCTCCCTCCTTTCCTCCTTTCCTTCTTCCCTCCATCCTTCTTTCTCTCCTTCCCTCCTTACATCCCTCTTTCCTTCCTTCCTCCCGTCCGTCCTCTCTGCTCCATCTCTCCTTCCCTCCCTCCTTTCCTCCTTTCCTTCTTCCCTCCATCCTTCTTTCTCTCCTTCCCTCCTTACATCCCTCTTTCCTTCCTTCCTCCCGTCCGTCCTCTCTGCTCCATCTCTCCTTCCCTCCCTCCTTTCCTCCTTCCTTCTCTCCTTCCCTCTTTCCCTCCTTCCCTCATAATGCTGTCATTTGACAGACTGCAGGAAGAGAAGACATTCAGTCTGACCTTGCTCAAATGCAGAGCGTGAGACGGGAAGAGAAACAAACGCCAACTCAGGTTGAGATGGAAGACTGTAGCCATGGGGATTCTATCTTATCTAAAGGAAATGCTGATTTCTGAGTGAGCACCTGGTTCTGGAGAAGAGGCCAAGTGTGGATATGTGGGGCTGAAGGTGCTTCTGAGCCTCCATGTGTGGATGGCTTGCTGTAAAACCTTGAGCAAATTACGGAAGCTCCCTGGACCTTAATTTTGGTAAGACACGTGGTTCGGACAAGACGATCTTGAAACGCCTCAAAAGAACTGCAATTCTTGCAATTCTAGGACTTAAATGTGATCCTGATCATTTTGTCCTGTTGAAATATTTAAACATCTTGATTCTGCCATGAACTTATTAGCTCTGCCTCCCAATTTTGCAGTTCCTATAAATTTGATAAACAGGCCTCCTGCCTCTTCATCCAACGTGTTCATAAAAATGTTCAGCAGAAAACGCCCAAGGCAGACGCCTCTGGCAAGTGCCCCCGGCCTCCACCCTGCAGGCGATGGTGCGCTCCCCAGCGTGGGCAATGGGCAAGGAGGCAGCAGTCACAGTGACGGAGACGTCCGGCAGCCCTGGCCCGCCTCCCACAGCATTTGCATCTGCCGGGGCCTCGGCCACCATCTGGGGACCCCGCCGATGGCTGGCCCGTGGTGGATCCCAGGCTGGGCAGCCCCTTGTAAGCAGGGCCGCTGAGTGACCTTGGGCTTTGTTTAAACCCACACTCTCTCCCTCCCTGCCCTTGGGTGTGCTTCTGGGCAGAGGGCAGCCTGGCCGGCATTTCTGCTTTGCCCACCAACCGTCAGTGACCACTCAGGGCCACACGCTGCCAGCTCCGAGGGCCCGTTAGCAGTGCGGTGTGCAGCAAGAGTGGTCCTGTGAAATAACAAAGAGCAGGTCTGGTCTTGGTCCCAGCTACTGGCACAGAGCTTCAAGTCCTCTGGAATTTCCTGAGCGACGGCAGCGTCTTTGTTCAGGCGCCCTACCTGGCTACACCTGAGTTTACGCTAAGGAGGTGACTCAGGGTGGCCCTTAGATAGTTTCAAGGGATGGGCTGGCCCACCAGCCAAGTGATTAGAGGGCTGGGAGCATCAGCCTCACCTCCTACCCTCAGGAAGGGGAGA